AGGGGATTTGATTTAGGTGTTTAAGATTATTAAGGATATTGATAATATAGATCCATCAAACTTTTTTGTGTTTAGCAGTGAACACCATAGAACTAGGGGTCATAAGTTAAAATTTTGGCAGAATAGGGTGGTTGACTTTTGGAATGAGCTGCCTTCAAGGGTGATGGAGGCAGAATAGTGAACTGAGTTCAAGAAAAGATTGGATGAATGAATGAGTAATAAGGGGTGGTTATAGTTGTGAGCTGGAAGGGACATCCTTGATGGCCTAATATGCTCCTTTTTGTCCCTTTAAAATTTCATGAATTTATGAATCTTACGATGTTATACCAATAATACAAAAAGTAACTCTACTAACAGTAGTGAGGCTGATAAGAAATACTAACTTTACATTTTATTTTTAATACATTTATAATTATACAATAATATAACAACTATTTTTGTAACTACACATGAACGCGTACTTCATCGACACTGTGTTATACCAGGAATCTTATTTGGAATTTAAGTAAATAAGCAACGTATGGTTTAGGCATTAAGTTAATTTAACAGGCAACGTCTGGTGATACTACTAGTACTAGTTTTGAGTTTGACACTGAATCGTATGACAAAAACGACAAAGCTTACTCTACTTAGACTACTAATAGCTTATTAATATATAACTATGTAATTTAAAATAAACATCAAATACTACAATGAAATATTAACCTTAACCATGGAACACAGCAGACAAGCACGAAGATTTCTTAAATCTTTAGGAACACTTTCCACTGAAGCTGGGATATGTTGCGCCATTGTAGGGTTTAGCGGCCTCTGTTGTCATAATTTTACAAAAAGAGACAAAGTGAAACAATTTAAAATGTTGTAAAACGATGTTATTTCTACATCTAAACACCTATCGTTGGATAGAGGCATTGATGTAAAGTATATACTCAAGTCTGTTAACAAATAATTGAAAAGAACTGAGATTTTTTGTTATTAGTGTTTTATTAGTTTTTAGGTGAGGGGAAAATTCTATGAACTACCGTCATTTTGTCTTTACTTAAGCTTTAAGTCTTAATTAAATTCGTAAAAGATCCTGCCACTCAGTGTATAGGGACTCTTTTGACGATAATTAGAAGCCCTTCTGATGGTAGTCAAGGCCCACCCTAGTGATATATAAGAATCCTTCCCTGTCTGTCATTAAAGAATTCTTGATTATCATGATGGTAGTCAGGGCCCATTCTGAGTATATATACTTTTACTGTATAGGGGGCCTATTCATCAAAAATATTATGTAGTTTTATAAATCGAATTTTGCCGTTGACGGGGCCATTTTTATTAGATAGAGTTGGATGGATTTATTAAATTATTTATAACCAATTTAATAATAAGCGGGCCTTCACTGGAAAAACGTGGGGTATTACTTCTGACGGCGCTGATTCAACCAACAACTTACAAGAAGTTTAAATAGATATAACGTAGAAAAGAGTTTATTTATGGGTTTATAAAAAATCTATAGTGTTCAAACTTGAAATGCAAATATAAAACTCTCTCTGACTTCATTTATATCTAAACAAGCCAATCTTAGTATTTGAAGTATTCCTCGAAATGAATCATATATGATGTCTTGAAGAAGTATCAAATTTTGTTGTTGATGAAGCAATACAAAATTAAAATTATTTGAAATCGAACATTTATAGATGTTTTTGTTTTGTTTTCTCTAGAACTTTCACAACTTTAAGTTACCATACATTATTCCTAAACTACAAAAGTTATTGGTGTATTGAATAGGTAAACTTTTTATTTTATACATGTTTTCTTGTATGTGTAATCTATGAGAGTTCCCAACAGCTGAAAATTTTAAGTGTCGTCACTACTTAGAGCGCAAGTTAACATTGTGGTGGAGCTTTCGATTTCGAACACGACGAACCGGGTTCGAAACCACGGATATCGCAAAATATTCCTCTCATTTTAAGCTATGGGTGAGTTTAGAGAGTGACTGTTAATACTTTAGCGTATATGGTGAGTGGGAAGGTGCTGCTGACTGGACTGAAATGTCCCTTTGGTCAGTAGTTCAAAATTAGGGAAGACGACAGGATAGCCTAAATAGCTTAGTCATACAAATGCAAGATACAAATACAAAAATTCAACGGTGCTTCTTAAGGCTTATAACTAAAAACATCCTGGTATCGATACCCACAGTAAGTACAGCACAGATAGCACATTGTGTAGTTTTGCCATTAACTGCAAAGAAACAAACAATAAAAATGAAAAAACTTAATTGTGAAATTATTTGATGGTTGTCGCAAAATTCAAATAAAGGTGTTAGACGAGTACGTTTCCTCCATAGTGATTGGGAGTGGCCTAGTGGTTAGAATTCTTGAACCTTACTAACCAAGCAAGCACTGATTCCGAAACCATTGATAGAGAGCTGACGAAAAGGAACCTGGGTTAGAAAAAATAATTTCTCTTGTTTTCGATGGTGCCGCCAATTTTTCAGGAAACATAAGTGGTGTGCATAAGTGACTTTCAGAAAACGCAGGAAGGAAAATTTCTTACGTATATTGTAGGACCCATCTTTTATCTTTAGCTTTAACCAGCACTAGATATAAAATCGTGTCTGTGAAGAGGGTTCTTCATGTCATCAAAGACATATATTCACTATTCCACAAGTCACCAAAGCGTGAATGCGTGTTGCACGAGGTTCAGAGGTCATTGGAAGAACCTGAACTAAAGTGCGCTGGCTCAGTACTTACAAATCTTTTTCATGTCGTTTTAACTTGTTACTGTTCAATTATGATGGTATGTGAGCACCTACACAAAGATGGTACAGGTTTAATATCGTTAGCAGGAGGCATCTTGCTGGAAATGGAGAAATCTAGTTTTATTGTTACCCTAATAGTTTTGGATGAGGCTTTATGTGCAGTATTTAATCTCAGCAAAGTTTTACAAAAAGAAAACCTAAATCTGTCGTCAGTTCCTCAGCTTGTGGTGTCAACGATAGCACATTTGGAAGATATAGGGACCCATTTTAGTAAAGAAAATTCTATTGAAAATGAGCCAGAGAGTCAAACCTTCAAAACTAACAAGCACCGAGTTAATGATTATATGATCTCCCTCATCAACGTATGTGCTTCCTTCCAAACGGTCCAGTGAATGTGCAATTTGACATATGATGATGTGAAAAAAGGATGTAGCTCCTTTGATGGACTGGATGCTGGTGTCGTGTGGGATGACTTGAGCTCCTTCAAGAACGCAAATGAGCAGGAAGATCAAGATAATTTGCATTACCTGTGGAAAGCAAACATTGGTTACGAAAATCTTTAAAAATAAATTATATTTTCTGATGGTGGTGCCGGTTTCGACTGGTGGAGTTGAACGTTCTTTCAGCGGCATGAACCGTATTTTAAATAAGCTGAGAAACCGGATGGGTCAAAATACGCTTCAAAGCTGCATGAATGTTAACATCGAGAGGCCTAGTGTACTTACAAGCACCTTGCTGTCAAACGTTATTGACTTCTATGCACGAAAAAACAAAACAACAAGACGTGTTTGTTTTCTCTAAGAGTAGCTATAGTAAACCGTCTGAACGTATTTCCGGTAATTTTTTTATTTTTAAATTCGTAAAAATTACATTTAAATATCATAACCAATAATATTAAAATATATCATTGTAAATGTGTGGAGTCAAGTATTTTGATCAAAGTACGGTATTATCCATTTTGTCGAATTTTAATTCCCCCCCCCCGCTATGGTCTGGATTCAACACTGCCCAATTCAAAACCAAAATCCACCGATAAATCATTCACACAGACCTTTACACCCCCTGGAATTCCGCCCATGAATGTAAACAAAAAACTCAATTTACTAAAAAATCCTTATAAACATATATTCAAGAAGTTGTTCCACTGACTATATAGATGACGAAACCAATTTTATAAAACGTTCATTCACATTAACAAAGTTCCACCAACCATTGTCGAAAAATTTGCACACAACTCCTAGAATAAAAACCCAACCAGCAAACAAAATTGTCACTAACACACCAAACAACAACACAACATTACACTGCAGTTTACCATTCCTCCCTGAAATCAGTTCAAAAATAATCAACACTTGGAGAAAACTTGCCATCAAACATAGAATTCCTGTCGACTTCAAATTCACTCAAAAATCCGACCTTAAGCTAGAATCATTCCCAAATATAAATTATATAGAATCACACGATACCAACGCCATTAATAAAATAACGTTTATGAACTGTCCATAATTGTACATCAGAGAAAACTGAAGAAAAGTTGAAACCAAATTCACCAAATTTAATATAAAAAACTCCCATGTTTACCACCATTGCAATTAAAAAAAAACGACAGTATATCTATACAAAACACTGTAATTTTAAACAAAGAACCAAACATCATCAAACACAAAATGGAGGAAGCAACCTTAATAGAACAAAACAGCCCTACTATAAACCAACAACCAGATATACCAAGATACCTTTACTAAACTGATAAGCAATCGCCGGTCACTTGACCTCTTCGTTCGATACTGTATACATTCTCGTGTCTATGTAAACTACTTGTACCTAATGATGACATAATCTTGTCTAAACGTTGTACATTTGTAATAAGGTTTCTTTCACTACCTATTCAAGACGTCTCAAAGCTTTATTACCGTGATATTTGTCCAACTGGTTTTCAAACAATTTCTTAATTAATTAACACGAATTCTGAATGCTGAAGGATCTCATTGTTGAAAGGATGACACTTTTTATCATTATTATTGAAGGTAATTGTCTCAAAGGTATCACGTAACGAAAAATATTTATTTAATCATTGTGTTTTACAACAGTATGATTTTTTTACGACATACAACGTCATAAAAGCATACATTTTCATAGTTGATTTGATAGATTATAAAAACACTATATTTACAGTTAGACTAATCTTATTATAACTTTATTGGGGATTAACAGTGTTTATAACAAATATATGGAGATTATATTAATTAATTACATCAAAGTTTGTTTAAAATGTTACCTGTTATATATAATGATGAGGAGTTTATACAGTAACACTTAAGATCTAAAAAATGTAAAATAGTTTCCAAACAGTGTGGTGAAGCCAGTTATTTTATATTATTCAGATATTTTTTCTCCATTTGAGCCACGTTTTTTTATCAAACAATTGTTCGGTTATTTTCAATTAATGTGCAAAGTTCCTCCAGTATTTTGTTCAGTTATTTTCAATTAATGTGCAAACTGAACAAAATACTTGAGGAACTTTGCACATTAATTGAAAATAACCGAACAAAATGCTGGAGGAAGTTTGCACATTAATTGAAAATAACTGAACAAAATTTGCACATTAATTGAAAATAAGTTCCTCCAGTGTTATATGAAATCAAGGATGCAGTGGTTCGGTTTCCTCCTTGGATCTGTTAGCTTCGCCCTCTGGTGAGTTATTGAGGCTGCAAAAAATTGTGACTAATTTTAAGCATTTTTTGTTTCTTTTTTTTACAACACACGATTAATGCTGTTAACAAGGATAGAATTATGAAGCAGCCAGCGAGATGCCACATAAATATCAACGATACCCACAAATCGTTTGTTGTAGGAAGAGGCGATCCCCCAATAAAATTTCCAAAAACGGGTTTAAACAGCATGCCCACCTGAATAAGCCATGTTCCTTGTATCATGGTGAAGTAGGATCTGAAGAATCGAACTGGAATGTGAGACGGATATTTCATTTCTGCCAACGTGGAAATGATACAAAGAGCAATGACGACAACCAAAAGAACATGCATTTTTTGACCAATCTCTGTTAGTTGATTCAAGCTTAAAATAAAGTAAAGCCCTTCAACACCGA